TTGCGCTTATGCATTAATAATTAAGTATTATTATGAAGTGTATCGAATTATTTTAAAAATTAAATTAATATTTACAACGCACACAAAAACCCACAAAAAAGGATTATAATTCACAAACATAATATAAGACTAACATAATCCGGCTGATGTAAAAAAGGAAGTTAATTTTTAAAAATAAATTGCATAAAATAATTATTGCATAAAAACCATTGCATATAGTAGAGCATGAAACACTAATATAAGAGAACTACAGATGAAACATAATTAACAGGAATACTGCAAGGCTTCAGATATAAATATAAAACACACTAAGTATAAGTCCTAGAATTGCCTTTAAAAAGTAGAGAATTATGAAAACAAAACATTAAACATTCTAAAAGATCGAGGAAATATATTACCAGTAGACAGTTACTTTGATTCCAGAGGTCACATTATTTGAACAGAATGGAAAATAACAAATATGCCCGCACATAAAATACACTATAGGTGTAACTTGCGAAAACTAATAAAGCAACAATATTAGATATGAACTCTCTAAAATTTAAAATTTCTTAAAAACTGTTATTGAAATTTACAAATAAAATATATTTCAGCTTTCGTTGTGGTACTGTGATGAAAACCACCTCATATTAGGAAACATTAAACTTTTGGATATATTTCATCTTGGCAGTAAATATATTTCATTCATATCGTGACAGCTTTTTCCATTAGAAAACAAACAAAAAAAACTATTATATGCAATAATTTTTATTTATTATTTAAAATAAAATAACTACTCACACTTCTTCAGATTCAGATTCATCGGCGTTTTCACTTTCAGCTGTTCCGTCGCCATTGGAGTTCACATTTTTGGAATCATTCTCAGCCGGTTTGTTTGGCTTGGGACCTTTTGTTAATGGTTGCAACTTTGGTAGCTCTATCGCTAGCATTTTTTACTTTTTAAATTTTTATATTTTGTACATTAAAATTCTTATTATTCACACTTTTGTTTGGCCACTACTTTTTACTGCAATAAGAACTTAGTATTACAAACAACATTTAAAATTGCAAGAAGCACGCAAATCAAATTCGCCAGTTGTTTATTAAAAATGCACTTTTATTTAATAATTTTAATTTCTTGAATTGATAAAACATTTATTTAATTACAAATCTAAGCGGCTCCATGCTATTCTATTTATTTACTCCGCTTATAAACTTCTGTCAAATTTGTCATTAATACAGCTGCTGCAAGTTATTCTTGTTTTGACATTAGTATAACAGAATTGAAACAACTTGTGAATATTGTATATGTACTTCATTTGACATGTTAAATATTTTATTTTAATAATATATGAATTCACCTATAATATGTATAAATAAAGAATTAATTCAAGTTATTTATTTATGTATTAATAAATAAATAACTTTACTTATATTTTATTATATAAATATAATTATAAAAATTGTACTTTAAATTGTGCTTGCTGTTATACGGGCCATTTGCGGGCTGCTTTGTATAACAGTAAAGTTAACTTAGCTGTCAAAATTTTTTCATAACAAAATTTTGTATTGAATTTCAAATTTAAATAATTATAATACAAATATTATACATACATAATAAAAGAAAGTTCAAAGAATTGAAATGATTTCAGTTTAAATGTTTATGCAACGGTTCTTTTAATTTAACCAACTTAACTTATTCTTTACAGTAAAATAAAATCACATTGAATTCAAATTTATACGTACAAATACCAATATATACTGAGCTTTATTTAAAAAACATGATTACTATTTTATTTTTCACACACAATATTTCAATAGTACATATTTTTAATTGAAATGTCCCAATATTTGTTTAAAAATATTAGTTATTATTTCATATATTATTTTTATGTTATTATTATTATTATTATGATTATTAGTTAATTTTTGTGATTTTGTGTAAAAACTGTTTCATATCGCTGCATATTTGTGGAGTTAATGATTTAATTTAGCGTTGCTATTTCTTTCTAGTTACATTTAATGAAACTTTTGCCCATAAATAATACAGGTCTTCGTTATCAAATATAGATTTTAAAATTGATAGTTTTGTTTTTATACAAAGTTATAATAATCCCAAAATCTATGTTTTTCCAAATTTCAAATTTTATGTTAATTATAATATTATCATCATCCGCGATAAATTCATGTAGGACCTAAGCCTGTTCATTCTTCTCCGTTTTTTGCTTTTGTTTTCCAATTTCTTTTACGGGTCCAAAAATTTTTCTGATTATTTTCCTTTCAAATACTGCTATCTTGCTTGCATCAGTTTCAGTTAATCTTCATTTTTCGCAGCCATATGTTACTACTGAGCGAATCAATATTTTATACATTTTTAGTTTTGTTTTCTGCGAAATATTATTAATTGTAATATTTTTATTATAATACAGCATTAAGTCCGGAGAATATTTTCATGGCAAAGTGAAACTTCATTCCGGTAATCAGGAGAGAGAGATATGATCAGGAGCCTCAGCACTTAAGCGACTGGGCTTATTTAAGCCGGATAACAAGGGCAAGACGTAGTTAGGTTACGAGTAGGTGAAGGAGGTGGGATTATAGCGAAAGCGTGGCAATTAGAGTAACAGTAGACTCTGTGATCAATTTCGTTCGTATGGCTTTTGTTTGTTTTGTTCTTTCTTCTCAATTTCTAGAATTAAAAAAATATATCTCTGATGAGTTGATATGTGTTTATATATGTGTTTGATAAAATATAATTTTTATTTATAAAAGAAATCATAAATTGTTTTTTATTTTAATTTTAGTAAATAGAAACTCAGAGAAAAATAAGATACGAAATCTATTAGTATCTTTTTAATTTGAACAATTTGAGCAATGAAAATTCAAGTTGGTATTATAAACAGTAATATTTTTATTTTTTTTTAATTCTTCTAAGTCATTTTATTTATTTTTGTAGGAATAGAAGTCAAAATGTTAAAGTTTTTCTATTCTTAAGTGTAACTTTTTAATTATTTTATATATTATTTTATTTATATAACTTTATTGATGTTTAAATTCAGTGTTTTGCAATTATTTTATATAGTTGTATTTAGTTGGTATAATGTTTATTTACTAAACATTAAGAATACATTAAATGTGCTCAACTTTTATCTTTTGCATTTCTAACGAAGTTTTATTTAAATAAACTCAATCTCATTGGAAGGCGGGTGTACACTGCAGACAAAAAACAATAGATATTACTTAAAGGCGGTAAATGCAAAATTTTAAATTTCCATAATTATATGCATCAGCAGGTTTTTATAAAGAACAAAATAAAAATTCATTGCTGTGTGTTGATGAAAAGTAACCAAATAAAAGAAATCAAAACAAAACAATTCCACATAAAGAAATAAAAGAAATCATAACAAAACAAACAAAATTGCAAGAAATTGTATTTTTACAGAAGAATAAACCTGAGACTTTGGGATAAAGTGCAAATATTGACAGTTTTAAATTATGATAAAAAGGAATAAACAAATGGCAACACAATTGCGTAAATTAATTGTGTGCGGTGAATGAGTGGCATTTATATAATGCATGTATATACATACATATATATATACATTCCTCTGCGTTTAATTTGAAAATATTTTTTGTAGAAATGTTTTTTTCTTTTAATAATTTTTTTTTATATATAATGGAAATTTATGTATTTACAACATAATAAATACAAATGTTTAATGTTTTGTTTAACTGTTTTATTTAAAATTTCACCACCTTTGATCAGTTACAGTCGATTATCAATACAGTTATCGATTAATAGTGCAGCGGTATCGAACTGTTTTACAACGCTTTTTTTCTGTTGGTTTTAAATGGCAGTCACTGGCTTTATTTAAAATGTAAAAAGTTAACATTAAATATAGATAAAGTCGCATTTTAATATACGAATGAAGAATCACTGTAATATGTAATGTAAAATTCGGTAAAGTGTTTTAAGTTCTTTTAATCGAACTTATTACAATTATTTTGCTACTTCCCAATTGCATAAATGCGAAAGAAAAGTATCCTTAATGAGGTTATGTCAAAATATGTACATACATAAATAGCACAGTACATTCATACATATTAAAAAAGTGTAATAATTATAATAATGTAATATTGTTTGAAAATTGTGTTTAGTTGTGGTTTTATTAAAATGTGTGTCACTTAAAATATATTTTTTCAAATATTAAAAATTTATCCGTATTTATTTTAATTTAACTTAACGAATTGTTAATAGAAATTGACTGTTTGTAAGTGGGTAAGTATAACACTTCAGATATATTAATTAATATTGGTAATATTAAAAATATCGCATTTAAATAATTTATCATTAAAGAAGTTTTATTGTAAAATAAGATTTAAAATGTCACACAATATTCATCATGCATTTGTGACAAGTGGTGGACATAGGGGATGTAGCTCAGATGGTAGAGCGCTCGCTTAGCATGTGAGAGGTACGGGGATCGATGCCCCGCATCTCCAAGAATTTTTTGCAATTTTTTTTTAAATAAAATTTATTTTGCTATATATGTATATGCTATATTTATGATCGCAAGCTTTTTGATCAATTATTTATGACCGAATTTTAATTTTCTGCTGCTGAAGAATATTTGATAATTATGTTTGTTTTTTACATTTTGAACTTCGGGAAATCCTAAATTCCACTTAAATAATTTACAGCTATTGTGATAATATAGATGTTCTGGGCAGACGCGATACCATAACATTCAAGAGGGATTTCAGATAAAATGTTGGATTGTGACTATACTTTCGTTAACCATTTATTCATATCATGTATTAATAGCGAATAGACATATAGTTCTTCAAATCATTTTGACGAATTTCAGCTTTTCAAATCACAATACCCCGACCATCCACCCCTTAGCTATGTATCTGCTCGAGGTTCAATCAGTTTTTGCAATTTATTTAATCGCGTAACAAACATTATCGATGTAGAGATTTAACTATGTTTGCGGTTGAGTTAAATAGTTATATTCATTTGAAAGATACCAGAAGAAAGTTTTTCTGATTGCAAATATATTGGTACTTCCAGTTTTTTAGTGCTTTGGTTCTGTTTAATTGAAGTTTTTAAATTGACACGATATCTAATAGATTGGTAGTACTCAGATTTAAGTGCATTTACACGACATTTGTATTCATTTAGGAAGATTGTAAAATCTTTCACAAGTGCATCCAGATATTTATATAAAAAGTTAGAGTTTTAGTACTTATCACCACAGTTAATTTTTTATTTAGTTATTTATTTTTAGGTTTCTAAAATTTTAATACAAACCCTTTGTATAGAAATATTTCAAATTGATTCTGTCATTTTAGTGCAGCTAGCTTGCACTTTATTTCTTATAAGTTATTTACTAACTTAAATATTTTAATCTATGACTTTCTAAATTTTTATTTCTTTTATTTACTTAACTTATCTTATTAGTTAGTGAAGTAGATAGTAAGAAGCCAAAAAAAAAAAGTTGATGTTAATACCGATTGACAAAAAATTCTATAAAAACATATTCAATGTTAATGAGAATCCAAAATGAGAATAATGCTCTTTCTCGGAATAATGCTCAATATTAACAATAATATTCAATATTATTGAGTTATAAT